AACTTCAATTGTTGTAAGATAGTAAGATCTTTCAGGTCTTCTGTTACTGCAGCATAACTGAGCCTAACCTGACTGTAGAAGAGGCCACTGCAAAACTTCATCAAACACTTACGACATCTTAAAGTAGGCCAGTGGCAGTCAAAATGAAGAGAATGGGACTGACCAGAGGGATATCTGGGGGGTGGATGGGTGGGGGTTGTCCAACATTATAAGAACTATAAACCAAAGAAACACAAAACTCAGGGTACCAAGCTATTAAACAGACCATCACAAGGAAGTAGGATTAGATGAATTATATATGAACCCCAAAGAATAGGATTAAGATTTTTTTTTTTTAATGTATTCATTCGAGACACAGAGATAGAGAGAGAGAGAGAATATGAGCAGGGGGAGAAGCAGAGGGAAGGGGAGAAGCAGACCCCCCGCTGAGCAGGGAGCCCAATGTGGGGCTCGATCCCAGGACCCTGGGACCATGACCCGAGCCGAAGGAAGATGCCCAACCATCTGAGCCACCCAGGCGCCCCTAGGATTAAGATTTTTTAAAACAATTACAGGAAACAGATTTCTGCTCAGCATAAGAGACTTTCAAACAATGAACTTTCTAACATCTAACTAAAGGAATGTTCTAACATCTCTCTGAAAATGAAAAGAACTCCTTTACAAAGCTGTGCTCACACAACCAGACGTTTTCAAGGAAAGGATGGATGACCATATACAAAGGATATTATAGAACGGGACTGCAGAATTATCTGGGTAAACAGGCTAATTGACTTAATGTTGTGTCCAATTCTGAAAATAGTATTACTGATAATTCTATTCGCTATATTAACAGCAGTTAGCCATTTATGAGCTCTTATAATGAGAAAGGTACTGTGCTGAGCAAAACAATCCTTCACCATTTTATAGGTAAAGAACAAGGGCTCTGCAAGCTTAAGTCACTTGCCCAAGTCATATATTAAAATTCAGCTGGCAGAGTAGAGTTGTAAAATATCTTCCATCTCTGAAAGCAATGAAGAAATGGACTTGTAGCAATGTGTGCCCCGTAAAGATATGTAATATTACAGCCAGATATATTAGCTTCTAACTGACACCTTGAAGGAAAATGCTCTTGGGTAAGCACCAGTGAGGTTTTTGGTTTTCTTAATGAACAGATGACACTGGCTAGACATATACCCGTGCAGTGTATGCAAATACTGGAGAGCTATAGGAGGCATACGTAAATGAAAGATAAAATGTTTAAAGTTAAGTGTCTGCCTTAGCATTTAAAATATTCTACACACATCAATATAGTATTACCTCAGCACCAATCAATAGCAATAAAAATGAAATTATCTTATTCTGTGTGAAATTTACAATGTTATCTTAATTTCTATAGCGAAATTATTTTTAATAAACCACTGCAGTAACTCATCATTCTGTATACACTAGCAACTGCTGCCTTGTGGGGAAAAAAAAATCAATTTATATGACTCCTACTTAGCTGTGAGAGCCTCTCAAGGTGGTTAATGGAATTCCCTTTTAATTAAGCAAATCCGTATGCTTAAAAATACAAAAAGCAGAAATAATAAATCACTAGTATAAGCTTTGTTAATATGCAAACTAGGAAAACAATAGTTTGGGAAGCACAAACACCGTGCAGGTGATACATTCCTTGATGATCTGCTACAATAACCTCAATTCTGGCTTTCATGCTAGAACCTCAAAACACCCTCAATGGGAAAACCAGTCGATCTTTCTGAATAGAAATGGAAAGGTGTGACAGAAAATTGCCACGTCAGAAATAAGATAGTAAACTGTATTTCAATAAATTTAGGTTGGTTTACAGCAAATGGTCTAAGCTAGGGGCAAACAAAAGGGCAAGCATATGTTAGCCAACCCAGTTTCTGGTGACAATGAATAAAGAGAGCTATAAATAACCACTGAAAATTATTCCTCGCCTCATGAGCAGGATAATTTTCAATCATACAACACAGCTACTTAAAGTTTGGTGAAAAGAGAATATTATTTTGAAAGACAAAGGAATTATTACAATTTTTCAAAAAAAATCTCAACTTGTCCATTCTAACTATAGTAAGGGAGCAAAATAGCTTGATTATTATTTTCTAAAAGAAATACGATTTCAAAATAAAGTCTTATAAGAGGATTCAAATCAAAGTATGCAAAATAATAAATTTATGGGTAAAGGAATTAACAATTCTTGAACAGTAACAATAGGTCGAGTATTATGCAACACCTATCATATACATTACCTAACAAAAACTCAAGGTGCACAGTATAGTACACTTAACTTAAAGGTGTTTACTAAAGCTTAGTGAGGTTAGGGTAAGGGTCCAAGTAACAGACTGTGAAATCAAACCAAGGTCTAACCCAAAGTTCTTTAGAACTATCCGAAGCTTTATTACATGACATATTGCCTATGTCACAATTAACTTTCTTATCAAATAATAACTTAACCTGAACTTCAGGGGTTTAAAGATTTTGTTTGTTCGTTTGTTTAATTGAGAGCGAGCGCACGCGCACGTATGTGCGCTCCCATGAGCAGGGGGAGAAGCAGACTGCCTCCTGAGCAGGGAGCCGGACATGGGGCTCGATCCCAGGACCCTGGGATCACGACCTGAGCCAAAGAAAGATGCTCAACCAACTGAGCCACCCCGGCACCCCTGAACTTCAGTTTTTATCACAAATTTGGAATTCATGAGCAAAGAATAAATGAATTATCTGCATTTTTCTTCTCTCCCAGTTTTTCTGTTCTTCTAATTTTCTCCCATTTAAAACACAAAAGACTGAAAAGAATACAGTTTAACCACAAATTAATATTTTTTCTGAAAAAAATTAATGATACAAAAAACACAGTGAGCTGTTTTTTAAAATATGTGTTTTATTCCACATACATTACAAATTTTCATCAAAAAGACTGTTTAGGGGTGCCTGGCTGGCTCAGTCGGTTAAACGTCTGCTTGCCTTCAACTCAGGCCATGATCCCAGGATCCTGGGATTGAGCCCCGCATCGGGCTACCTGCTCAGTGGAGAGCGTGCTTCTCCCTCTCCCTCTGCTGTTCCCCCTGCTTGTGTGCTCTTTCCCTCCCTCTCTCTCTGTCAAATAAATAAAATCTTTAAAAAAAAAAAAAAAGACTGTTTAAAAGTGCATTAATTATTATACAGATAATAAGAGCTTTGTTATGGCATTGGATTATAGAAACAGTCAAGTTTCCACATAATAAATTTATGGGTACTTCCTGAAGGGACTTTGTGTGTACTTTTGTTTTGTTTTGCAGTGGGAGGGAGAATTATCAAATATTTGAATTATTTAAGAGTACTCAACTCTCAAAATCAATGCTTCTAAAATATACTGCCTTAGTAACAGATGGGTGGCCTCTAGGTCCACTCCAAAGCACAGAGGTGGGAACTGGAGTTCAGAATGAAAAAGATAAATTTGGTAGGAAAGGTCTTTCTGAGTGAATTAAATGGTGACAACTTATCAACTGCAGCTTAGGTCCCCTAAGCACTGACACTGTAGTGACATCATAACTAACAGCTTGGATAAAAACTGAATAGTACCAGAATGTTCTTTCAGCTTGATCACCTGAAAGTACCAAATAAAGACTCAAAAACAGAAGTGAAAAAAGTTTTTCCCACAGAAGTTCTTAATTAACCCATTCTTTCTCATCTGTTTTTCCCCTTAAAACACTATCCGAGCCAGGAATACACTGTTATGCCATAAAGTAAGGGGGCACTAGAACAATAATGACAGGTCAAAAGGCCATACAAGCCATCACGAAGGGGTTTTCCCTGGCCAAATCTGGAAGAATTTATGCATCAAAATGAATGATGGTAGTAATGAATTATAATTCATTGAATAAAACAGAAATCCATTTCTCCAAACTTATATAGCTAAAAAGATTAAGGGAGATTAAAAACATACATACAGGTGTACATACGAGAAAATGAAAAACTCTTCCTTACAAAAAGAATGTCAAACAACGAAAGGAGAAAGAATGGTGACATTTGAAAATTAACATTACAGCCATAACTCTACCGATTTAGACAATAGAAAATAAAACACATGAGTCAAATGTGATAAGAGGATAATTACACAATCTATTTTGTATCTGGCCACAAATTACTTAATAATTACAAAGACAGAATTAACAAAGGTCACAGTTAACAAGTACTTATTAATTTACAGTGTAGAAATCTGACAGAACACCACCTCAAACAAGTGATCAACAATGTTAATATCAATGACACAGAAATCACAAGCCTCCTGCTTTGATATACTGAGAAGGATACAACATCACTTCTATGGTATTACTACAAAATGCATAACCTAAATCTAGTCATAAGGAAACTATCTCAAACTGAGGGACATTATATAAAACATATGGCCGGAACTCATTCAAAACGTCAATGTCAAGAAAGAAAAAGAAAGGCTAAGGAATACTTCTAGACTTAAAAGAGACACGAAAACTAAAATGTATGATTATGGATTGGATCTTGGGGGAAAAGGGTTTAAGATATCAAGGATATAACTGGGACAATGATGACATCTGAGCTTAACTACAGATTAGATAATGGCATTTTATCAATGTTAGATTTCCTAATTTTCATAATTATACAGTGCTTACATGAGAGGCTACCCTTGTCCTTAGGAAATGTTCACCTAAACACTTAGGGGTTAAAGAAAGAACAATCTCAAGTGTGCAAAGGACTCTTGAGTGGCTCAGGAAATAACTTTTAAATACACGTTAGTAGTAAAAGGGCAAGCAATCACACAACTACAAAGCAAACTGGGCAAAAGAAAAACTACTGGCGAATCTGAGTAAAAGGATATATGAAGATCTTTGTGCTATTCCTGAAACTTCCCTAAGGTTGAAATTATATCAATATAAAAGGAATGAGATTTGTATGCCAAAGAATTTTGAGAATTACAGGAAAACCTGGGAATATCCAGCATTACACTGAGTGTCTCAAAACAACCGTGATGCCGTTCCTTCTCTTACCTTTCTAATAGATTGTGGATCGCTTTGAAGAGCAGTGTCCGACATTCATAGGAAAGGCCATTTTCCCAGAGTCCTTCCTCCACAACTGAAAAGAGTAAAACAAAACAAAACAAAACAAAAATGAACCAGTAAGAAAGGCGTCCAAATAAAAATTAACTTTCAAAACATTTTTCTAAAGGAAAGTTGATGAATTCATTGAAATGAATTATCTCACGCTGACACTGGAGAAAGGAAGTTAAATACTTGCCCAAAGTCATAAAATACCCATGTACAGAAGTAAATAACATGTTTCAATTTTAAAGTCTTCAGAATATATAAGCATGGTACAACCTCTCTCCGATAAAAGTCTTTCCAACCTGATTCTTCAAAATTTGAAATTCTCAAATTAATCTTTCTACTGAAAAGTGCCACAAAGACAAATTTTGTTAAAATTCTATTTAAAGATAACAAAATGTCACAAACTGATGCTAAGGTTAGCATCTGTATTTTTAGAGGATAAACTAAAAGGAGAAAATATTCAAAAATGTCAGTTATTCAAATTTTCTTAAATGTTCTAAAGGCAGTATCTCAACAGGATTTTAAGGACATGATTTTAGGGGAAATGCCAGGAAATTAAATCTTAATATAAAATCAAATTTATTTCCTAAACTCATAATTTCATTAATGTTTGACATTTTGGGAAATACTGTATTTGCCTTGGAAATACAACATAACACTGAGCCACAAGTAACTCTAACACCAAGAAAATCCAACAGACTTAATAATGAATGCCCCATGCATTCCTAACATTCTTTTCATATATAAAAAGATATAAAACACCCTAGAGAAGACAGCTAATTTCCTTTTAAATTATATTAGTTCAGTTCAAGATAGCAAAAAATTGGAAGAATGGCAAGGACATTTGCAGAATATTTTCTTTCCCTTTTACTTGTTATCTTGACAAAAGCACTCACCAGAGAAAATTTTGACAGAATTAAAACACATGTTAAATCCACAATGCATTTGTAATAGTTTTACAGATTACACCAATAGACATCTCAAAATGCATCTCCATATTCTGCAAACACACAGAATTAGAAAAAGTGTATTTACATTCATGGGTTTTACCTATAGGACTTTTTTTAAATGATAAAACTGGATAATTTTATTCTTGGTATGTCAGATAGGTTTTTTATTTTCCTATGTGACTTAACCATGATTTACCAAATTTTCCCCAAAGCAACCTCTGTCAGAAACATTTTATTATTTATCACTAAAGAAATGGAAATAAAGTACAGCAAATAAACACTCCTAATAGCAACAGACTGCCTCTGTTCAAGACCAAAAGTTTCCTACAATCCTCTGAAGGTGTCATGAATCTGTGTTCTCACACATTTATCTTCTAGACAGAGCTTTACCTGGGTGAGAAAGAGAGCTAACATTTCAATAAAATGAACACCCCATATTAATTTGCTTTTCCTTCCTAATGTGTCTCACTGACTCTAAGACACCATCACTTTTAAGAAGCACGATTTTTTTATACATCACTGAAGGTTAAGGGGTAGAAGTAAGCTGCCATTTAAACTATAACATGGCTCGGGGCGCCTGGGTGGCTCAGTTGGTTAAGCGACTGCCTTCGGCTCAGGTCATGATCCTGGAGTCCCGGGATCGAGTCCCACATCTGGCTCCCTGTTAGCAGGGAGTCTGCTTCTCCCTCTGACCCTCACCCCTCTCATTCTCTCTCTCTGTCATTCTCTCTCTCTCAAAAATAAATAAATAAATAAAAATAAACTATAACATGGCTCTTACAATTTAGAATTTTTAATCTGCAATTATTTAAAGAGCTCTTTTATATTTACTGACATGTTTTTCTTTTTTTAAGATTTATTTTAGAGTGCGTGCGTGCGTGTGCGCATGCGCGCGAGAATGTCGAGGAGAGGGGCAGAGAGGGAGGGAAAGAAAAGCAGAGAAGCAGACTTCCTGCTGAGCACAGGGCCCAATGCTGAGCTGGATCCCATGATCCTGAAATCATGACCTGAGCCAAAGCCAGGAGTGGGAGGCTTAACCGAATAAGCCACCCAGGCGCCCTACTGACATGTTTTTCAAATATCATTACTGTACATACATAAAACAGATAATATAAGCCCCCCCCTACAAAAAGTTTAAAAATTCCAGGGGTGCCTGGGTGGTTCAGTTGTTAAGTGTCTGCCTTTGGCTCAGGTCATGATCCCAGGGTCCTGGGATCAAGCCCCACATCAGGATCCCTCCTCAGCGGGAAGCCTGCTTCTCCCTCTCCCACTCACCCCACTTGTGTTCCCTCTCTAGCTGTGTCTGTCTGTCAAATCAATAAATAAAATCTTAAAAAAAAAATAAAGTCAATTCTTCTAAAACGAATCTACAGAGTCAACTCAATTATAATCAAAAATCTCTGCAGGATTTTCTATAGAAAGAGAAAAATTGCATTTATATGACAAAGCAAAGGAACTAGAATACCCAAAATAATGTGGTAAAAGAAAAATATAGCTAGGACATTTACACCACCTGATTTCCAGCTTTACTACAGAACTAGAATTGACAAGATAGTGTGGTATTAGAAATAGGATAGATACACAGATCAACAACAGAATAGAGAGTCCACAAATAGACCCACAAACATATGGTCAATCGACTTCCAAAAAAGGTGCAAAGGTAATTCAGTGGAGAAAGAACAGTCTTTTCAACAAAGGGTGCTGAAATAAATGAATATCCCCATGCAAAAAAAATGAGCTTCAAATCATAGATCCCACCACATAGAAAAATAAACACCAAAATGCAAAACCTAAAACTATAAAATTTCAAAAACATAAGAGAAACTTTATATAAGCTTAGGTTAGCAAAAATTTCTTAGATATGACACCAAGAGCATGATCCATAATGAAAAATTGTTCAATAGGGCTTCATCAAAATGAAGAACTCTGCTCTTCAAAAAAAACACGGAAAAGTTATGTTCAGCTACAGAGAAGACAAGCCACAGATGAGGGATAAGCAGTTACAAATCACATGTCTGACAAGAGCTTGTATTTACAATATGATACTCTTCTTTAAAAATCTCAAAACTCAACCCCAAGGGAAAAAAACCATTTTAGATAATGGCCAATAGATTTGAACAAACCCTTCACCAAAGAAGACACATAAACAGCAAATAAAAACATGAAGAGATGCTCAAAACATCAGCAGTCATTAAGGAGATGCAAATTAAAATCACAGTATCATCCATTAGAATGGCTTAAAAGAAAAACTGAAAATACTAAGTGCTAGTGAGCATATAGAGTAAATGTAATGGTCATGTACTGCTGATAGGAATGCAAAAATAGTACAGCCACTTTGGAAAAGCTGACTTTGGCAATTTTTTCTGAAGTTAAACATACACTTGTCATGCAGCCCAGCAATATCCATCGTGTGTGTGTGTGTGTGTGTGTGTGTGTGTTCAAGTAGAATAAGAACTTGTGTCCACATGAAAAACTGTAGCAAATATTTATAGCTGGTTTGTTGCTGTTGTTGTTTTTCCAAAAATGTCAGGAACTGGAAACCACCCAAAAATCCCTCAACTGGGGAAAGAACAAACAGCAGACAATCCATACACTGGGATACTATTCAGAAATAAAAGGCGCCTGGGTAGCTCCCTCAGTTAAGTAGCCGGCTTTTGATTTCAGCTCAGGTCATGATGTCAGGGTCTTGGGATCAGTCCTGCATAGGGCTCTGTGCTCGGCAGGGAGTCTGCTTGAAGATTCTCTCTCTACCTCTCTCCCTCTGTCCCAACCCTGGCTCACATGCCCATGAGCACTTTCTCTCTCTCTCAAATAAATAAATCTAAGAGAGAGAGAGAGAGAGAAACAGAAAAAAAGAGAAAGTAATTAATTAAAGGAACTGATACACTCAAAACATGGATGAATGTCATGCTAAGTGAAAAAAGCCATCATACTCAAAAAGCCACAATGCTTTATGATTCATTCATATGGCATGCTCGCAAAGGCAAATTTAAGGTAATGTAAACTGTTCAGTGGATTCCCGTTCCCATCCCTGGAATGGGAGTGGTTGATAACTAAGGGACATGGGAAATTTGGGGGATCATGGAACTATTCTACATCTTGATTGTGGTAGTGGTTACACATAACTGTGCGCATTTGGCAAAACCTACAGAACTACAGGCTAAAAACGGTAAAACTTAACAATCTTTTACTGCTCTACATAAACTCATTTTACTATTAGACACAGCTTCTGAACCTATGCCATTATAAATATACTTACATTGATTTTTTTTGTATTTTTAGTGTTGAAAATGAGAAGAGGATATGAATCAGAAGCACTCCTACTCTAAACCTATGTACACTGAACATGATTGTTTTTATCCAAATGATATGGTTTATTTGGTTAACGTTCCTTTACAAATTATTAAAAGCAAAAAAACAGTTTCGCCCACAAGAGACTACAGACTAAAGTGGTCCACCCTTACAATACACTACAAACTGTATTAAGTACTTTGTATTAAATACTGCAAATACAAAGAGAACAAAAATTTCTCTAAAACATTTCTCAAAAAATTTTTAAATACTGAAAGTTTGAAAATTACCTTTATATTAATATCACTTTTATATGTTAATTCCCATATCTTCCTTTATATTATATAAATTTATATAAAGTTTAGGCACCAATTTAATAGAATACTGGGAAGAAAGTAGTAACACAAAGTAAAACAAATCAGACTACATTAAGCTCTTGTTAAGTATACTAAAGCTTAAGAAACAGAGAATTATAAATTATCCTATACGCTAACCAGTAAAATTTAAAATATAAGTCAGCAGAGGTAATGTACAAGTAAGGGCACAGTATTTGGACTTCAAACGAACACCTCAATGTCATCTTACATACTAAAGATTCAAGAGCAGTCAATAACTTATTGAAGTCAACAAGTGTAATCAAGGATAACCCCTCTACTAAATAATATCCATTAGGCCATGCATTTAAGGATAATGCATTATTTTGCTACGCTTTTAAACTTTGTTTTTATATAGCAAGCATACTGTGGAAAGGAACAAAAGTCAGACCAAACTTTCTTATCTACTTCATGTGCAAAATTTCCAGAAATACAAGAGCAGTGGATGTTTCAATGAATCTCTAAAATGTAAGTTAAATCTAGAACAGCATTTTTGGAATCTAATAGATATTTGGCCAACACACACTGGCCCACAGTTCTTGGCTATGTTATGCCTCAAGCACCAGGCTAGAAATTAGGAATGCTCTCAAAAAGCTAATAGAGATTTTGAAAATCACTGTAAGGCAACAGTAACTTCAAATCCTTTGCAGTACAGTTATCAAACATTTTTTAAAAAAAAATTAAAAAGTCTTTTATTTTAAAATAACAGTAAGATAAAATAACTTATAGTCAAGGCTGATTTTCTACCTAGGAAACTATCTTTCTCAGTTTCTGAGGCTTTATACTATGTGCCAAGCTTTGAATCGAGCACTACCTATAAATGGGGGATGGGGAGAACGTTTTCACCACAATGCCATGATACAGAGTAAAGGACATGTGGCATTCACTTAAGCCACCCAGTATCTGACTTCTTCCTATCACTGGGAATTGCCTATTTCATAAGTTCTCCTGGGTGTCAAATATGGTGACCCCTAACAGGAGCTGAAACAGATGCTCTCTTCCATCCTCTCCTGCAAAAGGGACAAGGACATATATGCTAAAGTCCACTAGGTGCTCCTGCACCACACCTTTGATTCTGGATCTAGTGACACAGAAGAGAGCAGACACAGAGATTTCGGACACCACTAGAAAGAGAAGCTGTAAGATCAAGTTTCTGGTGCTTAAGCAGCAGAGGTACCGCAGCATCTAGTGCTCAGTGCTGACAGCACCAGTGTTCTCATCAGCCCAATTCTGCGGCACCAATCCTAAGACCGACAAATAGTTCTGCGAACACTCAATATTCTTTTAATCAACTCCTTTTTTTAGTTTGCAACTAAGAATTCTGACCAATACAGTTTATTCTAATCTCCACGTTATAAGTAAGAAAACTAAGGCTGACAGATCTTAAACTTGCCCAAGGTCATACAACTAATAAATCCAAGAATCTAGAGTCATATATAGCTATATTCAGAAGCTAACAGGATCAAATGTATTTTATGTCTACTTTTTATAAACAGTAAATATACAAATTATCCCATTAATTAAACTCCACAAGGGGAAGCAATTTATTTTCATAGCTGCAGTGATATCTGTAAACATGTGTTGAGTTGTGACCTAATATTGTATGTGCAGATACCTTTCAAATTTCATTGGATTTAGCTTCAATCTAAAATCTCCTTATATCCAGTTAAGAAGATTAGTGGCAAAGCTGAGATTCCAGTCCCAGTTTTCTGACTCTAACACCCATGCTCCTTCCACTATACCACACTTCTCCATAGGGTTAGTGTTACATTAACCCATCCCATCTGCCTCTTTCATTCTTAATGCTAGCTACAAAGGCAACCTTCAACACTGAAGTCAAATTTCCCTTTGGATCCACAGTTTGCACCTTAAATTAATGTTTTCTAAATAGCTGCAAGTAATTTTTTCAAAGGTAAAACAAAATTGAAATTGCTTCTGTAATCTATTTATACAATTCCATGATAAAATGAGAGAAAATCACATTTTAGCTTTTTTAAACTATTTTTTTCTGAAACACCTTCCTCCCAAAGTGAAATTTAAACTAACATTCCATTTGCTTGATACTTAGATTCGTCTGAAAGTAAGGAGGGTGTGGGGAAGAGCCATGGACCAGGTACTAGTTAGTCTAAATTAAGTTTCTGTAAATGAAGGGAGATGCATTCAATATTTAATTCTCTATCTCCCTTCTAAGGTGGACTGAGAAGAAAAGCAACCACCAAGAAATCTGTAAGAAAGCCTGCAGGTGGCTGGAACACATCTTCATGAAACCTACAATCTCCCCAGGGTATTCTGTCTCCATCTTTAAAATTAAGAAAAGCCTTTCTAATTCTTCTGATCTTTCCAGTTTACATTTAAACACTTATTAATTCTTTAAGAATATAAAGTAGCAATAAGGCTATCTCTATAGACGACTATTTATAAATCTACTTAGATGTAATGGAAGAATTTTTCTAAAAGTTTGTTAGTCTCTGAAAAGAAAGCACCAAAAGACCTAAAATGTGTATACAATAAATGAGTGGCAAGATTCAACCAAAACAAAGAATTCCTGAATTAAAACATTCTCCTGTTGTTATGTGGTCTATTACAGCCAAGCTAAAACAGAAAAATAAAACTTAAGTAGTACCACAGCTGCCTATTTACAAAGAAAAACTATTTGGCACTAAGTTATCTCACTTAAGTTGTAAAAGCTGTAATCAGAATTTGTTTAAATTGCTGTTATTCAACATTTTTTAATATAGTAATCCTCATAATCAAATATTTAAACTGCAAAAGTACTATATAAATGTTTTTTTTTTTGAGCAGGAGACAGTGTTTTAGAAAGGAAAATTTAAACAGTAGTAATTACTACTCAGTGCCCAAATAATTTTTCAAAATCCTCACAAATTGTAATATAACTTCTTTCAACTTTAAGAAACATGGCTCCTTGCAGAATTAATAAGCTTCTTTGAAAGAAAAACCATATAAAAGGTTCAGGAAAAAAGTCAATATGGCAAAATATCAAAGCAGCATATACTTCAATGATTTTGTGTTTCCCAGCAGAGATCTTGGAAAGATATCCCTTCCAATTCAACAAATGAAACTGACATACTTTACTTGAAGGGGTAAAAGTGGGAGGAGGGAGAATGGAATGGGGTAGGGAGGAGCATAAAAATTGTGAAACCTTGAAGAAATTCAAGCTCATGCTTTTAGAATTTAGGTCACCCTGCCTTACACAGTTTAAAAGTAGAATTACTTTCAAAGAATACATATTTCCTCTGAGCTATGATACATATTTCCTTTTAATGTATCATATTGCAGCAACAGCTGAAATGAACGTCTAGACATCAAAAACACTTCTTACTCCCACCTACTGCTTTTTTACCTCAGGCATCAAAACTAATGAAACCTATTATCCAGAACATTGAGTTCAGTAACCACATTGGCCTTTGCAAATATTGGAGCGGGGGAGGGGCACTTTCAGGGATGGCACTCCTTATTCAGCCATTAAAATTACTGAAAATCAAATTTTGTTCCAAACTCCAGAAATACAAAGAGATTAAAGCAAGAAACATGAAACAAGGAGATTACTTCCCAGGTAGATTTCAGTGACAAACTGCTAAAGACAGCACGGCCCTGAATGCAGGATTTATAATTTGCCCACTGCCTTTGTTTTCTATCTGATCTGCAGTTTATAAAGCATACTAGATTTTTTTAGCTGCTTTATTTTTTTAACTGCTTTAAATTGTTAAATCCCCTAACAACTGCATAAGCAGATAGCATAATGAAACATTTATCAATTTAATTTTATGGGTTGCATCAAATGAAATGCTTTAAAGATAAATATAGAGAGAATTTTGAAGTATCTACTTTCTTAAAATTGACACGAAAAAACTGAGTAACAAAGCAGCATAATGCTACATTAATTCTGAAAACAGCATTATACCCATAAAAAATCCAATTACATACAACACAAGTGATCACAGTTATGCTGCCATCAATTGCCTTGTAAGATCTATATTTAAAGTCATTAATAACTAAATGGACTTATTACTTATATCAAATTCAACCTACTTAGAGCTCTGATTTCCTTGAATTACTTGTGGGTGTAGAATATTTGGTATCACTTAACAAATCTATACTGAAAATGGATTTTAACTTTCCCAATGTCAATTAATCAATTAAATAAGAATTAGAAGATACAGATCAAGATATTCCATTTGTTTTGACCTATTTGTAACTTTAAATAATTACAAATATTGTTAATATTCATGGGACTGAAGCACAGCTGTGATTCAAAATTCTTTCTAATTTTTTTAAATTTGAATAGTTGACAATGTCACATTAGTTTCAAGTGTACAACATAGGGGATTCAATTTCTCTATGTTATGCTATGTTCACAAGTGTAGCTAACCATCTGTGATTCAAAATTTTAATAGTATAACGTTTTACTAAGGAATCTCTAACAGCATGAGTTCTCTGCCAGTTGCAGGATAACCAGAATTTTAATGACAGTTTCTACACAGTATTACAGCAGTTGAGACATGACCCAAGTTAGCATTTCAATGGATCACAGGACTACATGTAAAGCTACTAAACTTTAAATTGAAGGAGACCATAAAACTAAATTTCTAGATAAATTGAACAAGACCTTCAAAAGACAATTGCCACAGAAAACAGTCAGGCTGCAATGTTTCTTTAATAGCTACACAGTGGAAAAAAAATAATGTTGCACAATGACTGTTACTGACTTCTAAGAACCAAACTTGCCTCCATTTGTTACTCCTTTCAGAGATTTTTAAAAATAATTATTACTTTTTTACCCTTTAAAGCTATCAATGTGCTCTTAATTTTGTTATATAATACACATAAACAAAGGCCTGAAGGACAGCCATCAAAATTAAGTTATCTTTGGTTGCTGGATTAATTATTTTCTTCTGTACCACTCTGTGCTTGCAATAGATTTCTTTTAAATAAGGCTATTATTTATTGAACAGCTATATGCTTTAAAAAAAAAAAAAAGCTACATGCCAGAAATTACAAGAAAGATCAACATTCTTAGAACAGGAGCCACCACAAGACAGAATTAAATTTTGAGAAAGAAATCCAGATATGCAGTTCAGTTAGAACATTTAGTTTAAATGATTAATAGTACAAAATAAACATTTTATAAACTTACTTACACACACACACACACACACACACACAGAGCTACTAAAATTCTGACAGGGCAAGTCCCCAAATTGCCTTTTACACTAAAGCTCAAACAGTTGTCTGTCACTGCTATTACAGTGAGTAATCCTTGCAGCTGTAACTGTTTGAAATGCAGCTGTCTGGTTGGCATTCTCTCCCAACCCCCACTCACCCAGCATTTCTGTCCTTGCTACAATAATCTTAAAGAGCATTTTACAGGAGGCTTAGCCCTGGCTGAGGGCACTCTTCGGCGTGACCGAGAGAACATGGAAACACGATTCATTAGACACGCCTGGAGTGATAACAATGGTGCTGCTTCTTGCTGCCTTTCATTTCGTACATCAGGCTGAGACTAATGCATTCTCGTTACACAACAAGCACATTTACAGACAGGAAAAAACTGTAATCACCTTTGATTAAGAGACAGCATATTTTTCCTATATGAGCCGCCAGCCATACTGACATAGTAATTATTTTTTAACTGACAGGTTAAAATAGCAAATGTAGCAAAAATAACATCTACCCAAAAAGAGAGAGAGAAAGAAGGGGCGTAGAGGGGAGATGACTACGATGAATACTTCATACACAAAGGTTTCTCTAGATCAGGCTCCGTGCCATATCCTTGAGACCTGATGGGTACTTAGGCCCGTATTTAAGCTAGACAGTCTATGGCAAATAGAACAGAACTTACCAAGCAATCTCATTCTACATATCCAATTCTTTGAAGGCAAAAAATACAGAATTTTTTTGGGGGGGGTCATCTTAACTGTAATTATTATTGACCTACCTTCCTTCCATTCCTTTCACCACAGAACTACAGAATTCAACAGCAATATTAACCCTCTTCTCTTTTTCCATTATCCTACCTTTACTACAAAATAACCTGTTCTCTTGACTTTTTCCATTATGTAGTTTTACTACAAAGTAATTTGTTTCCCTTTATATGAAGCACTAGGCCAAAACAAAAAGCCTGCTTTCTATTTTAAGTAAAACAGTTAAAAAAAAAAAAAACCCACAAATGTATTCTTTATTAAAAACAGGAATGCAGAATAATTATTTTATATCTTTTTATCATTTCCCCAGCTCATCAATCACTGTACTTAGCAAAGGTTTGAATTATAGATATAAAAGCCCTCAATTTAAATGGAAAAAGAAGTCATAAGCCATATTATATTGAAACATGTAAAGTTAATTTTCTTCTAGGATTTTGAAAAGTGAACCACTTCTCCACATTCCCACACAACTGCAGTCTTTTGTGGGTTTATGCATATAGGTTGCTGGGTTATTGTTAATGGGGAGTTAGGTGGTTAACAGAAGAAATATTTATTAACCAGGAATTGAAAGATTACGGTTAAACCAAATTACAGCGAAGTATTTTCTCAAGGTTAGTGGATTCTGCATAATTATTTTTTTACATGGTTAGCCTCTTTCTTAAGCTTTCTATAACACTACTCTATTTTACAATTAAGAATGTGCTAGAAAACTAGCAAAACAATTTATATGTGTGAAAATCTGTAACTAATGAAACAAAAATAAGCAAAGAGAAAAAAAAGTTAAGTGTAGTTCACAAAACTTTGAGAACTAAAATAGCTTTTTAAAAAAAGTTATGTAGCACAAATGAATTTTTGTAAAACAGCAAAATGCTTGAGCAATTTTTAGCTGCCGGATTTTATCTGACCTGTGGTACCACACCAGGTCAGAAACTAGGAAATCTGCAGCCTATCTTTAATGTGTGTATAAGTGGGTCACTGAGCTCTGATGTGCATTTAAACACTGTGTGTTTGGAAGAGAAATCTGACATGCACCACATTATGTTAGAATCACACAAGTTTAAAATTTTTATCATCTGGAACAGAGGATAACATCTATACTATTTCTACTCTGTAAGTGTCCAAGTCTCCTTTGTCATGACTCCCCCGAAACTAATCAAACCACTTCTATGACTGCTCCCTGCCTGTCTTCTGTTTGGGAGATATATAATTAATGATCAATATCAAACATGTCACTACAAAATTTTTTATTAAAAATTTCAATTTAATTGAATTCTTAGTAATGAGAACATTTTGCATTAACAAACGACTTGGTTTACATATGAATTTCCATTATATTAACCTGGTTCTTAGAAGAATCTTAAAAGCCAGAATGTGTAATTCTCCCCTCAAGTCTTCAAAATTAATTTATGCTTTTTTAATTCAAAAACAACCTACTGGAAAGCAATAAAAGCTTCTCAAAACTTTAAACTGAAACATATCCAGGAAAAAGCTGTCTTTAAATCCAAAACTTTTAACAAGCTAAGCAGTTTCCAACTCATAAGCAAAAAATTTATAAATGACCTAAATATTCCAACATGGCCAACATTTTTACTTTATGTAGGTAGTTCAACACTACAAGATTCCTTTACAATAATATGATTCAATTATGAAATCTGAATGCACTTTGGGAAATGGAGATTAGTTGTTCACACAGTGGTGTGAATGAGTTCAATCCTATTTTCTTTCTAAACTTAGCCAGAATGGCATTTTGACTGAAGGGTGAGGTGACCCAGTAATTCTGGATAAAGAACAACGTGGGGCGGGGAAGGGCTAAGTAGGTTCAATACCATACCCAGCAGTGGTTTTCTCCCTGGGGTCCTAGGAGTACTATGTCCTGTGGAAGAGCCCCCGCAAGTCTCTGGCCCTTTCCAAAATCTCTACATGTCTATGAGTATTGCTGCAGTTTTTATCCATTGTAAATAATTAAATTCTACAGAGGCTTAATTTGAAAACATAAACAAATACGATGAATTTGTAAAGAAGACAGAACTTGCAAACCACTCAGAAAAAGGAATAAAGAGAACCAGAAGCCCAGAAAGCCTGGGTCACTCTGCTAACAATTCCCTGGCTCTGCTGCTTCTTTCATAGTTCATCTCTACTCTCTCTGTTCTTTCCAGCTCTCAAACTGCAGAATTCTAATGAAGTGCACTAGAATGTTCCTGGGAAAGCCTTCCAAGATAGATTGTGAAAATTTCAAATATTCATAGAATCAATTCCTAGACAATCTACTCTTCCTCATCACAAAACCCAGAACCCAAATCAACACTAGAGTTAAGCATTACAGGTAAAATCAGCTTTTTACAGGTTGACCTTAGAATTTACCCACCAGTTAAGAATAGGTTTTTCATGGGGGGTGGAGGGGGATACATATTTTCCAAATAATTAACTTATAAATTACCTTTTGGAACACACAATATTAATACTTAGTCAACTGGTGTTTGCCCATGTTGATACTCCTTTCCACAATTTAAAAAACAGCTATTAAAAAGTATAACAATTAAAAAGCTGCTTTAATTAGCATTTGCCACTTAAGGGGAAAAGAGAGATATTTGACAGTAAAGGAGTAACTCAGAAAGCCTCTGTGGTGCCTGTAATATTTCTTGAACGCTATACATTAGATGTTTGTTGTAAAATAATTATTTATTGGGGCGCCTGGGTGGCTCAGTCGTTAAGCATCTGCCTTCGGCTCAGGTCATGATCCCAGGGTCCTGGGATCGAGCCCCCAGACGGGCTCCCTGCTCAGTGGGAAGCCTGCTTCTCCCTCTCCCACTCCCCCTGCTTGTATTCCCTCTCTTGCTGTCTCTCTGTCAAATAAATAAATAAAATCTAAAAAAATAATAAAAATAAAATAATAAAATAATTATTTATTTTGTATGCAATTCTCTATTACAGCTCACAATTTTAAAGCCTGTTTTCAACTGTGCTTCAAAAACAAAAACTACATATGGAATAATATAAGGTTAAAAGTTCAATTATAGGGCGCCTGGGTGGCTCAGTCGTTAAGCGTCTGCCTTCAGCTCAGGTCATGATCCCCGGGTCCTGGGATCGAGTCCCACATCGGGCTCCCTGCTCGGCGGGAAGCCTGCTTCTCCCTCTCCCACTCCCCCTGCTTGTGTTCCTGCTCTCGCTGTCTCTCTCTCTGTCAAATAAATAAAATCTTTAAAAAAAAAAAGTTCAATTATACATACCATGATCACAACTTTTTTTTTCCATGACCACAACTTTTAAGATGCATGTTCAAATATCTTGTAATGGAATAAACAAAAATTATAATTGCTATAAATTTTTATCCAAGCTTTTTATACCACATTTTAAATACAAGTACCCAGGGGCGCCTGGGTGACTTAGACCTTAAGCGTCTGCTTTCGGCTCAGGTCATGATCCCGGGGTCCTGGGATCGAGCCCCTCATCGGGCTCCCTGCCCAGCGGGAAGCCTGCTTTTCCCCCTCCCACTCCCCCTGCTTGTGTTCCCTCTCTATGTCTCTCCCTGTCAAATAAATAAATAAAATCAATCTTTAAAAATAAATAAAGTGCTGTATTTAGCCTTAAAATGACAATGAATACCCTAACTAAACTTTGCATATTTTCAAAAACATACCCCTAACAATGACTTAGCAACTCAAACGTGTATCAGAAAATAAAGAAAATAGCCTTAAGACAAAAATGCAGTAAACATGAAACAGATGTTGTTTGGACAGAACATATACATATTAACACCCTGTAAAGTACAGATATCATAGTTGAGTTTCTTTTACACTCCAGAGTCTTCAAGAAGCAAAAGCTTGTTAACAGTTCTCACTGCTTTCACTCCCGGCACCCTGAGACCATTCTCCATGAGAGAGCCAAAGGGATCTTTTCAAAACTTAAATCAAGCCATAGCATTCTTCTGCTGAAAATTCTACTCCAATGGCTTCACACGGCATTAATGACCTATTTAAGGTCCTTACCATGGCCTGTTGCAAGGTCCCACCTGATCACATCTCCAGTGATCTCTTCCATCCCCTACTGGTTTTCCAGTTTCAACAGCACTGGCCCTCTGTCTCTTTCTCCAACAAAGTGAGCTCAAGGTCTTCGCCCTTACTTTCCCCTGTGTCTGGCTGGCTGGTGTATTCTCGGGTCTCAACTCTAAGGTCATCTCCCAGGGGCTTTCCCTAACTACTCCTGTGTCTGAAGTACCCCTTTCCCAGCCGCTCACTTTCTCTCAGCTGCTTTGTACAACATGACCATGAGAAGCTCTTCACTCACACACAAGAATGCCACCTCCATGCACACAAGGGCAATGTCAATACTTGGCATGCTTACTATACTGCACAGAACCTTCCACAAAGAAAAATACTGTGACCTCAAGAAAGTGGAGCAAAAGACAACCTACTACCCAAAGACAACTTAATGTTACTCAACTTTTCGGACACGAATATT